TTAGTACATATTAGCACTTAATTTGCACAGAAACATTTCTGAATATCTAACTAGAGACAAAGTTCAGGAGGAGTGATGATGTGTGAGTTTACAGTCAGTTGCTTTGAGAAGAAACAGAAAAATAATGTGAAAAGACAGGCTATTATCTTACGAAAACAACTAAGATACATCGGTCTTATAAAAATAGCTTTGAACAAGCTAGCTCAAAATATGAAATCATGGGACTACTTGTGAGGGACTTTACGTGCCTGGAGAAAAATACAATTAAATGTTACTTTAAGATTTACATGGAATTCCCCTACCCCCAAATTAATGATATATAAATGTGTAGCAGTTTATCGTTTCGATGTCATAATGAGAAAAATACCTGAAAATACGATACTGCACCGATGTGGGGTTGTACAGACTGTGACTGTCAAGATTCAGAAGGAAACTGGAAGCATGATAACACAACTGGGGAAGAGGGAAGAGGACACATTGTGAAAGCCACTGTAACTATAACCAGCAAAAAAAAATCTGCAAAAGATTATTGAAAAACACCTATGTAAACGTACAAATCCTTGGGAGACTGCTAAAATTTGGTATTGGAAACACAGAGAGACAAATGATCATTGAACGAAATTCAGGACAACATCCTCAGCTACACTAGGTGTGGTATAACCCCGAGAAGGGTAGCCCTGGGCCACCCTTCCTTTCTCTGGTCGCAAGGCTGCAAGGGGACTTTTTCAACCCTGTGGTCCAAGCGCCGAGCTCAGCCGCACCAGCTGCACCCGCTCTGCAAGGACCGCTTCTCCGAGCAATGGCTGGCCTGTCTTTCATGGCTGCGTCTTTCAGCCCTGGCTAAACACATCTCCGCAGGGTGGGAAGGAGCGTCACAGAGAGGATTTGTGGCCAGCAGCAAGATCCCTTGCTCCTGTGATAGAGCAGCCTGGGCGTTGAAAGAAGTAGTATAACAGATTGCAGGATGGGTTTTTTTCTTTGTCAAGGTAAGAGCCTCGATTTCAGGAAATATCTGTGAAAATGTTCCCCTGAGACTCTTCCACTACCTAGAAAGAAGGAACTTTGTTATCAGGAAACCCCAAACCAAACTTCTGCAGAATGCCAAGGATTTATGAAGAATCAGTGCTGCTTACACAGCTTCAGCACCCTGCATTAGCTCTGGTCCTCATGAATGACTTTGTACTCACAGCCTGCGCTCCCAGAATTACATGGAGCTGGAATGGAGAAAGTGCTCTTCCCTGTACAGACCTTTCTCTATACTAACCTCTCTTCAAAATCCTCTAATATGTTTCCTAGCCAGAGCACAGAATCCAGAATGTATGTGCAGCTGTGTAGAAAATGTTAACTAACCATGCTTTCTGTGGTATGGGAAGATGATGATGGAGGAGCACCCATTTCATGCTCAAACGTTGTGATATAGGCAATCTGGGTAAGAGAAAGGAAAGAGCAAAACACATAGCTCTGGATTAAATGCCCTGCTCATACTGCTGGTTAAAAAAACAAGGGGGAGCACAGACATCAGGAAGAAATACAGGAGAAAAAAAATCAATCAATAAAAAAAATTATACCAGATAACAAGTTAGATGATCTGCAAGGAGAGACAGCACTTGGAGCCAGGCTCGAATCAATTTGGGGACCATAAAGGAATTCACCACACCTTGTCTAGAAGGTCATTGTTTCTCTTCATAAGATATAGAGGCTGAGAACGATGGCCACTATGCGTCTGGTATATATGTTTTTCTTATGGAGTGAAGCACAGATCATTTTGCCCAGTGTATCTTTTAAGTTCATTCTTACCAACAACTTGTATAACAAATCCGGAGAAGAAGAACAGGTGTGTTCTTCTTTACATACTGCTGTATTTTATCTGTGGAAAAACCTTTGGAAAAAAACTGTATAGCTTCGCCAAATGGTTAACAGGAAAACACAATTATGTGAAAGTATTTGAACGATGTAAGCTAGAAAAAAGGGAGAAGAGCAAATGGACATGTTGTGTGAGATGGCTGTACTACATACAAGAAAAATCAAACAAAAGAAAAGATAAACCCTAATACCAGAGAAAGTAAGTGCAAAAAAAAAAAAAAAAGAAAAAAAAGAAAAAAAAAGTAAAAGCCACATTTCTCAAGTCATTTGAACTCCATCACACCACTCCCTTTATAAAGCCTTTAGATGGAGAAGCCAAAGCCTGGCAAGGAGACACATTACTTTGTCTTGTTATCTTTTACATTTTTCTGTGTCTGTCACCCAACCTTACAGCAACCAACAGTCAACCGCAGATGGGAAAGCAAAAGCCTGTGTCATCAGTAAGCCATCTATTACCTGTACCACAAAAGCATCTTGTCTCATTTGTGTTAGGTGTGACATTCCCATTCTTCCTCTATGCATGTACTGATCATTCTTTCTTTTACATCTTCATCTCAGCTCTTTCTAATTTTTCTCCTGTGATCTTCCTTATTTTAAATAGAAGCTGAATTAAAAGGGTCTATTGTTCAGCCTAAGAACTGTAACTTTTGGTCTCAGAAAAGAACATATACCCAAATGCAAGGCATTGCCCGCTTAGTACAGTTTAAAAACATGCATATTTTAAATGATTTTTTAATATAAAGATAAAACAATCTTTCATGAGCAATGGTATAACTTTCAGGAGTCAAAACTACCCTTATCTCACATTTCATGAGATTCTCCCTGGACTACTTCATACCTTCTCACAGGGCTATCTAGACTTGGATTGTCTCTCTGTTCTTGCTCTCTTCACAGTGCTGAAATTGTCTCCATTCGTCATCACTTTTGACACCTTAACATACATGGTTTCAAGTTCATAGTTTCAAATTACTTTCACTTAGAAGCAGTGTGGAAGGAATCTCATCATTGGTTAAGACAAATGTCTTTCCTATTCTTTTTTTCTGGATGGTGCCTGAACAATTGTCATAACCACTCAAATAACTGACTCATCTTCCAGACCACAGAATGCAACTTCAGAAGAAAAAGGTCCTCACTCCTGTCTACTTCTTTCTTTTGCCTCTACTATTATTATACCTTCCAATAGTGTTTCCATTGAGCAGAAAAAAAAAAAGTGTCTATAATGATATCCTTCTTTGGAAGTCTTGTGCTTCCTTTATTGAGCCAATTTATAAGAAAATGGAGTTTGCTGTCAAAAAGATCTGTCTTCAGATTTCATACATGGCCTATTTTTTTTGATCTTGCAGCAGCTCTGCAAATTTTTTTTTCTCTGTCATATAAAATAAGTTGTAATAAATCACTCCCATTGTGATTGCTGGTGTTAGCTTGTTGAAGGGAGCAACGCATGTACCACAGCGTTAACCACAGCGAGTACTGTGGTTGATAATGGCAGTGCTTGCAAAGATGAAATCACCAGCAGGGAATGCAGTTCAAGAAAAAGAAACACAACCTCCCCTGCTCCCAAACCAAAACAAAAGCAAAAGAAACTCACTCCACCAGAAAGAACATCCAGAGAAGAGATAGGAGTGTAACTGGGAATGTACGTTTTGTAACATACTCTAATTTGAATATGTTGCTTACTATATGGACTTGCCTTCACGAATCATGATCTGAAAATACTTTATTGAATAATGGGATATTCGGGTTTTTCAATGAAAATTTATGATTTTGTTCATTTTTCTCACTGCTTCAAATGATGGTTGTACACCTTCCTGTAAAACAGCTTTTCACACACCAGAAGTTCTTATGAATCTTTGCAGAGTCCTGTACTTCACATTTTCTTAAGCCTTGCCCCACTAGACTAAATGATTGCCTGGGGAAGGATTATCTTTATTTGTGCTTTCCTACCATCTACTATTCTGGACCCCCAAACCCTGTGGGGACCTTCATCTGAGTGCTTTCATACAAATCATGTCCATCATCCCTCACTTACAGCAAAGGCAAGAAACACACCACCGTAACACACAGGACAGAACAAAACAGAACAGTGCTCCAAGACAGGAATGATTCCCTTGAACTGCGTCCGACCCTATGCGAAAGAAAAGAAGGGGGGTCTTAGTCTTTTCTTCTAGCTAGGGAGGGGCTGAAATACTCCAGCTAGCTGCTGCATCATCAAGTATTGCATAGGGAGATAGAGGGAGACTTTGCCAACAGACTGGCTGGCTCACTACATTTTAAGAGCTTTATGAATTGTTAAAAAGCTTTTCCACTCAGAACAACTCCAGGTGAACAGCACGCAGCACCGGCAGCAGCATGCAACCTTCCTATTTCAGTATTCTACTTGAATACAAGTTGGCCTGGAAAAGAAAGGACAAACACAATGGCTTTTGAGGAAGAAGTCACCTTCTTTCCAACTTCATAAGGGTCAAGGCTCAAACAACTGGAGGGCCAGTCCGCAACCATTCTCCCAATCAGCCAGCCAGCTAGAAAATATTACTGTTCTTCATAAGCAAAGGGCCCGTTTACTACAGTGGTCCTTGTGCTACTTCCTTCATTTTCATATCTTCTACAAAGAATAAGTTGTGAACTACATTAACCAGAGACAAGGTTTTTTTTCCTAAGCCCCAGCATAACAATCCAAACGATACCTGTCAATCACCTTTTGTCTCAATAGCAGAAAGCAGAGAACCCTTTTCTTCATTTGGGAAATGGTAGATAGGAAGAGATAGAAATCAAAATAAACAGTATAACCTGATGTTTAAAGCTGATAAGTTTTTGTAAGAACACCCAGTGTAAGAATACTCGGAGTACCTTAAATTTCAAAAGGATTTAGGGTATTCTGAAAGGAGAAAATATGTCCACATTTTAGAACACTGTGCATGTCTGAGAGTTAAACAAATCAGAACTACCTATAAAGGAACAATACAGTTTTCCCCTTGGTGGACTCTACCCCTGTTTCCCTAAACAATAAGAGTCAAAGTGTGTTCACTATCAGCCAGGCACCTATCCTGTCACTGTACATTCACATTAAAAACCCCTCTTTCCAGTGCGTGTTACTTAGAAATGTACTCAATCAGACTGACTCTCTGCCCCTTTATGTTCTAAGGGGAATTCGGAAAGGGTCTGTTAAAGGATGATACAGGCCATTCTTTTGTGATGGTCTGCAGTTTCCTCTCCCAATACATTTTCTTTTTATTTAGCACTTCCATTTTTATCCTGTGTTCTTCTTCCGCCATCTCACACTCTCTTTCTATTTGCTGTATTTTTGCCACATGAACTTCATTCATTTGGATTAACTGCAGTTGCAAAATTGACATTTGCTGATGATGTTCTTCCTCATGCATCTTTTTCAGAGCACTTTCCTGAGATGCTTTACTTCTGTAGTTCTTGTCTGCTGCTATTCTGACATCAGAACACGAAGGCTCGGGTTGGGAGGTACCTTCACATACTGGGAAATGTACCAGCTCTTTTTCTTCATCACAAAGTTCTCTATTTGAGACAACAAATGACTCTGCAAAACATAAGAGGAAAAAGTATTATAGTATTCCCTTCTCCCTCAAGAAACACAAACTTGTGATAATAGTTATTGGTGTATGCATCTAAACCTTGCGCTTCTGTACCATAGTACAGGAGCCACTACACAATGCAGTTGTTACAGAATATTAAGGGCATAACGGTCTGAACTGAACCACTTTGGGCTCTGTTGACAGACCTCCATGGCTTATAAGGGGAATTCAGAATTCTAAAGTGAACGTAGACATTTATAAGTAGACACCTAAATTTAGGTGGCTGAGCCTGGAGCTGAACCTTAATGCAGCTGTTTAAGCCAAATCTGTACGCGACTTGCAATACTTTTATGAAAGATCTGAGTGTCGGGTGAAGAGATGCATCAACATGAATACCAAGAGACTGAGGGAATACCAGGACTAATACTACTTATTCCTTCCTTATCACTACTGTACATGTCATAAATGCAGTGGTGTATATTTTTATGAAAAAAATTACATTATTCTAACTTTGAGAAGGTTCTACTAATTCTTCTCAAACAAAAGAAACTACTCATGGAATAAAATAGTTACCACTGCAAACAAGGGTTTCAAAATACATTCCTTTACAAATCCTGATGACTACTTATGGTAAATATAATTATGAAAGAGACATGGTAAGAATGTTATCTAACAACATAGTTACTGTTGTCTTTTGCACAAGGACAGTCTACTATGTGCAATCCTGACAATAAAGTTTGCAAGAAACCACTGTAGCCACCCTGCTGCCTGGTTTTGGACTATTCCTTCTGTGAATGCTTGCCAAACAAAGAAGAATGCAGTGCTGAATTTTTTCAGAAAGGCCATTCTCTAATGTGGACTGCAGTGTGAAATACGGCTCTACATACTCTTTTTAGTCCTTGAAAACAAAGGAGGAAAGACCTACAGGGAAAACTTGCAGCAGACGATTGTGCATTAATTTTCTGCTAGTGGCTTTTTTTTTTTTTTTTTTTTTTTAAGTCCACACCCC